TTGTGTAGGGGGTGATGGATTTTCCGTTGGGAAGTGTCACTGCGTTGATTTTCTGTCGTAGTGGTGGTGGTTCTTTGGTTGCTTGCTCCGTTGATCTGATTGTAGTGTCCTTTGAGGTCTTCTGTGCTCTAGTTGGTTGCATTACTTCTTCCGGAGTTAAACGTCGTAGTGTTTGTCGAGGTGGTGCTGGCAGTGGTGGATGTTGTCGTCCGGTTGGTGAAGTAGCCATAGGACTATCCGGTAGTGGTCGTGAACTTGACGTCGATGTAGACGGAAGTCGTGGAGGTGGTGTAGTGCGTTGTTGTTTGGTTGCGGGTTCCGCAACGATGTCGTCCGTGGCGTTCGTCTGTTGTCCGAAATCTTGCGTGGACCTTCTTTTCTCTGACGGTTGTAGTTGCGTATCCAACAGTCTTGCGAACGATGAGTTGTAGGTGTTCCATCGTGGTGCCCATGGTGTGCCGGAAACTTTGTTCAACAGTGCGAGGTCGTATTTGAAGTCCGGTTGTAGTCTCCGTACTGTTCGTACCTTTTGTACGCCTGATTCCGTTGCGACGTAGTTTTCTCTGGTTTCGGAAACTTTTCCGAGCCAGATGCATTTCTGCATCCGTAGGTCTGCTTTTGGAAGTTTCTTGTGTTGTGGTGGAAGGTAAAGTAGTGTCTCGCGAAATTCGCAGATTGCTCGCTCGTAGTTTCTTCCCCAGCGGCGTTTGTCAAAGCTTGTGTAGCCGTCTGAGTGGATGACGTAGCGATTTACCGTCCCTGCTGCGTGTCGTACTATCCAAGGTAGTAGACAGTGCTGACGGTGAGTGTCGTACAGTCATCGAGCCGACTTTTGCGGCTGTAGCTTTTAGAAGCGCGTTGAGTGTGTCTTCGTTGTCGCTTTGTAGTATGCCTTGTGTTATTCCGCACTCAAAGATGAATGCTTGTAGGTTGTTGACCATGTAGTCCATCATTGATGGTTTGTCCGGGACCATTACTGCCATACACAGTTGTGTAGTAACATCAACTGCTGTCAGTACTGGTATGGTCTTTGGGTCTTGTTGTGATTTGATGTAGGCGAAGTCTAGTTGAATGACGGGTTGTCGTGATTGTTGTTTCTTGTAGTTGTCTTGGCGTCCTTTGCCTTGAACGCAAATTGGACACCAGTTTCTGTATGGTAGGTGTGTAAGATTGTGTTCTGCTATTTGTTGTGGAGTGGGCTGCTGTGGTTGTCGTAGTCCTCTTGCTCTGTGTGCTTCATGATGCTCGTGTTGTTGTTCCTCATCGTGGTTCTCCTGGATGTACTCGTAGTCTTTCTTCACGGTGAACCTTGTTGTTCCTTTCCATTGAAATGGTAGTGCTGCGTTGCCCATGACTGTCCAGTCATCTTTGCGTTGTGAAACTTCTCCAAAGTTGTTGTGAGTGATTGTAGTTCTGTGAGGTTCAAGTGTGCTGATTGGTGGATGTCCTGGTCCATCTGTTGGAGTGAATAGAGTTGTTCTAAGTGTTGTGTGGTGTCTTATCCAGTATTCACCTTGTCTTTCCCAGTAGTCTTGGTTGTCCTCCTGTGCTGTGAGTGGTCTGTGGATTGTCTCCTTTGGTTGTGTGGTGTCAAGATTTGTAGAAGGTGCTGCTTTAGGTCTCCATATCTTTTGTGGTGCTCGTAGTTGGATCTTTGATCTGGTTGGTGGTGTGTCCATTAGCCGTTGTGGTTGTGAGCTCTGCCTTGTTGGTGTGGTCTTTGATGTTGCTCTGCGTGTAGGTGTTATCTTTCTTCTGAATCTGGTTTCTCCAGTCCAGTTGTCACCTTCTAGTCTTCGTTGTAGTTCTTGCTTGGAAAGTTGTGTTGGGGTCTCTCGTAGTTGTTCTTGCTCTTGCCCTTGTCTGTTGATGATGGTTAGTCGCCAATCATCTGGTTCTCCTTCAGGTATTGGGCAAACCGCTGTTGTGTGGTGTGAACAATGCTTTGCGTGGTCGTTTGTGTACTCTGATGGCGTAGTCACCATCAAGTTTCCAGTAGTCAGTGTTTCCACCAAGGATCTGTCGTAGTCCTTGGTCTGTGTGGGTAAGTGGTGCAATTTGTTCTTGTTGTTGTACGATTTTCTCTGTAGGTTGAATCACAGCAATGGATTTTCCATTGTCTGTAGTCATTGGGTAGATGTCGAATCCGGTAGGGATGTCGATCTTCTCTGCTCGTAGGTAGAAAAGTCCTGAGTGTCTTATGAGGTGTGCCTGTTGTTGTCCATGTGTGATGGTGCAGTGTCGTGGAGTGAAGTCAAGTCCATATCCTCTATCAAGTAGTCTTGATGCACTGAGGATTGGATACTTCACATCACAAACGTAGTAGGGCATCATGATCCTGAAGTTGTCCTGCTTGTAGGGAACGTACTTGATGCCGTAGACAGGAATCTTCTTGTTTGTAACCGTGTAGAGTTGTGGAACTGATTCTCCACAAGGTCGTAGCGGTAGGTCTGGTGCGTAGTCCTTCGGGCAAACATGTGTAGATGCTCCTGAGTCGATCAACAGGTGGTGGTATGACTTGAAGTTGGAGTACATGATGTAGTGTGTGATAGTGTCCTCAATCTTCTCGTTCCTTTGTTGTTGTCTTGCTGCTGCTATGTCGAAGTGTGGCTGTGTGGTGTCTTCTTGTAGGAATTGTTGAAAGCTCTTGCTGTGGTCGTTCCATGATGTTGTGTGTGTTGTTCTCTTGCCAAGTAGTGATTTGGATTTGTGCTTGTGTAGTCGTGAGTTTGCTTGTCTGATGTGTCCAATGGTAAGGTGTGACTCGTTGATGCCTCCAATGTAGTTTGCTGTGTCCTCATAGCTGTTGTCATTCCAATCCCAGCTGTTGTCATAGTCGTAGTCGTTCCAGTTCTCCTCCATGTAGTTCACCTCGTGTTGTCCTTCTTCTCCTTCGTAGTACCAGTCCCAAGTGTCGTTCACATCCTGAGGTAGTTCTTCATTGTTGTCATGATCTGCTTGTTCTTGTTCTAGTGGATGTAGTTCTTCTCCTTCTCCTATGTGCCATACTGGCACTCTGCAGTCTTGTGCCCAGTGGCCAGGCTTGCCACATCGATGGCATGTTGTGTAGTTGTTGTTTCCTTTTCCTTTTGATTTGCTGTAGTTTCCTTGGCCTTTGTAGCCTTTGCTTGATCCATATCCTTTGGATCCTGAGTAGCCTTTTCCTTTGCTCTTGTTGTATCCTCCTTTGTTGTAGTTTCCTTTGCTGCCTTTGTCGAATCCTTTGTAGTGTCCTTTACTCCTGTACTTGCCTTTGCTCTTGCTTCCTTTGTAGCTGCCTTTTCCTTTTCCTTTGCCTTTGTAGTTTCTTCCTTTCCTCCATATGTTGTCAACATCCATTGGTGCAGCTCCTCCATTGTAGTTTGTTCCTACTGCTGAAGTAGATCTAGTGAAGGCTGAAATCGTCTTGTAGTAGTCCAAGATGAGTGCTCTGATCTCGATGTAGTTCGTGATCTGTCCAGCTCGCAGTTGGAGGTGTTGCTGCAGTGCTCCTTTGGTTTTGTTGAGTAGTATTGCTATTTTGATTCCATCTGGTAGTGCTGTTCCATTGTCTTTCTCGTAGCGGTTGATGTCGTATTCCCATTGTAGAAATTGTTCTTCAAACTGCGCTTCGTTGAATGTAGGTTCCAGTAGTTTGGTAAGGTAGCCAACGCTTCTTGTTCCTACTGGTAGGCTGAACCTGTTGTGTAGTAGTCGTAGTGTTTCACATCCGTTTGCGTTGTAGCGGTTTTGCCTTACTACTGTAGCTGCTGCTCCCTGACAGATGTTGATGAGGATGTAGTGTAGATCTCTGGAGAGGTCTACTGCTTTGCTTGCTTGTGTAGGGTCGAGTATGTGTGTTCTGATGTCTGTGTCCTCAATCTGTCGTGTAGCCACTTGTGCTAGTTGTAGCACCAGGTCGAAGTCTCGGTCTATGAGGCCGAGGTATGCTTGTAGCTTGAACAGCCATTCTTCATACTGGGAGTAGTCACCAGTGAAGAAGGGTGGTGGCAGTTTGTATCTATGTAGTCTCTGAACGTCGTTGTCTTGTTCTGTTCCTGCTCCCGTAGTTGTGGCTCCTACTGTGTTTGCTGTTGGCCCGTTCTCTGCTGTTGTGCTGAGGCTGATGCTGCTTCTCCTGACATGTCGTAATAGTTTGGCATGTGAATGCTGTTGCTGTGGTTGTAGTACTTACTGCTTACTGCAGCTCCCCTATGTTTAGGATCTCAGCTCCGCTACCACGTTAAAATCGGTTGTTACTTTGCTTACAAGTGCAAGTGCTGTAGTGTTCAAACAAACAGTCAACCGATGTAGTCTGCAGCTGCCAACCTTTTCACTCATGCGAAGTAGTGAGCTCAAGGCCTGCAGGAGTGAACATACATGCAACACAAATGCAGGAAGTGATGCATGTAGTTTGACATCTCTCTCTCTCTCTCTCGCATCTTTCATCTCTCATCTCCCATCTCTCATCTCATCTCTCATATGTCATCTCTCATGGGCACCCATTGGGAATCGATATCCGCATTGTCAATGACAATAACAACAATGGACAAATAAAGTTCAATTTACAACCACTCCCGGATCCTTTCCTTTTCAAACCCCTTGCCTGGCGTTCCAAGGCCTTTGTTGCAACTCTTACCCCCCCCCCGCCCGTTCTCTCAGACAGGGTCTGACGCGTCCCAAGAACCTCTGGGTGTGGATCACCAAGTTTTCAGGTGTTTGGAGTCTGCACCTTGAAACATGGCTGGTCGTGTGCCCAGAAATTCTCGGGGTGAGCGTCCAGGTATGAACCAAAGTCGCAAGGCACAATGCCCGTTTCATTGCCGGACTGGACGAACCTTTGTGCCCTCGGAAGCTCGTTTGGGCTTCCTTCATGTTCCCTGCCAACCAGACCCTTTGGCCAACGTGCTAAATAAATGTCAGCGGCCAGCAAGTAACATCCACTACCACGTTTTGCAGCCACCTGAAAAATGGGAGAGGGCCCTTTCTGTGTCCCATGCAGACTTCCCGTCTTCTCGCAGGACTTTTCAGGGCTCTACCCCCATGTCTCCGCCGGGGAGACCAAAAAGAGCTGAGAGGACGCGGTTTTGTCGCCTGCCAAAGACGTGGGATCTGGTTTTTTGTTTGGGGGGTGGTGGGGGCCTGTCTGCCTGTCTGCCTGTCTGTCTGTCTGTCTGTCTGTCTGTCTGTGCCATTGTTTTATCCGTCAATGAACTTGTCTCATTATGTACGGGGCATGCAAGGGGCGAAATAACAAGGATTGGTTTGTGAGTACGCTGACACCAAAATTAAATTACATAGATGAAAGATTGGATGGATGGACGGACGGACGGACGGATGGATGGACCGATGGATGGATGGATGGATGGATGGGATGGGATGGGATGGGATGGGATGGGATGGGATGGGATGGGATGGATGGATGGGATGGGATGGGATGGGATGGGATGGGATGGATGGATGGATGGATGGATGGATGGATGGACGTTGGGATGTTGCAAAAGGCTTCAAACTCACACGCACACACATTCTGCTATGATCATAGAAGGCAGACAGACAGACAGACAGAGACAGTCAGACAGACATACAGGCAGGCATGCAGACAGACAGACAGACAGACAGACAGACCGAGCGACCGACAGACCGACCGACAGACAGAGAGTCAGAGGATTTTGGGAGGTGCCCTACGTTGGACAGACCCCGTCTGCAGAACTTCGTCTAATTTGTGCCTTCTTGCTGTTTGTAGACCTATATCTATGTGTATACACAGTACTTATACACAATACGTATCTATATACACATATTACAGCAATCAATATATATATATATATATATACATACGTATCTAGAATATGTATATGTACATGGATGAATACAAAGTATGTATATATCGCATATTATATATATATATATATCTACATAGCTCCAGGTATGTATTTACATACATACACTTATATGTAGAGACCTCGTTGGGATTTCATATGTTATTAGACATACTCATGTACATGTACATGCACATGAACATGTACATCTGTAAATGTATGTATATAGATAGGTGCATGTGTGTGTACGCAAGGTGCATTTTAGGCGACTGCTGTTATTTTTGCCCGAGGGAGCTGGGGCTGGTGACACCCCTCCCCTGCGGTGTTATTGTTGTTGTGGCAATACATACACATACATATATATATATATACATGTATATTTACAGTTGGGATTGTTTCATTCATGACTTGCCAGAGATCATGTTGCCAGAAAAGCTGGCAAGGGCTGAACTCAGTGCAAGTGTGCTTTCAGAGGCCCGCCTGACTCGCCCCCTTTGCCACCGTAGTTCACTCAGAAAGGAAGCCAATTATCAGGGCTGAATGGTTGGCTACCCGTTTGCCACTTGGAAACAATTTCACGTGAGTTCAGGCGCGTGGGTTCTTGTTTCCGCGCCAGATCCCCACATCCACCTTCACAGCTGCAATCCGTGTTTAGCGAATGGATTGTTTGTGAGACTGCTTGATTCATGCCAGCGAAGGAATGCGGGAACACTCGTGGAGCTAACCATCCCTCACCAAGGTCCCCCCTGCAGAATGAAGAGCTCTCTCTATGACTTCTGGGCATGTTCTTGCATCTCCCTTAGTAGCATGTCGATGTTTGCGTGGGGCAACCAAGGGGGCAGGGTCAGAACTGGCAAAATGAAGTTCGCAGGGGGGGCGGTCGAGTGGCCCACCCCTCGAAAATTTTGTCCCAGAGAGAGAGAGAGAGAGAGAGAGAGAGACAGAGAGAGGGAGAAAGAGAGACAGACACAGGGACAGACACAGAGACAGAGATCGACACAGCGACAGAGACAGAGACTGACAGAGACAGAGGCGGACAGACAGATGCACAGATAGACAGACAGACAGACGGATAGCGTTCATGAATGGACTGATGGGAGGTAGGGAGGGATGGACGCATAGCCAAACCTATAGACAAAGCAAACATTTGGTTAGAGAGAGAGGGAGAGATCAACAGCGCGAGGTGCTCTTGAAGCTGTTGGTGATGTTTTGCAGCAAGTGCAGAGGCACGCCGATCAAAATGCCACCTGCCAGGATGCTCGCAGCTGCACGGCGCATGGTTGTACATACCTGCTGCGTTTGGCAGGGCTTTCTTTTGCCGTGTACAGGGCCAAGCATAATTGCAGCATGGTGCGATTGGGATCGAAGGATTCCGGGCCTTACTCCCAAGAGCCGCGAGTCGATTGGACTTGTATTGGCATTTGGGATCTGTTTCAACATACGAGATTTGACCTAAACCTCGCTGCAAACAAAACAGCGTTGATATGAATGAGTCGTACATATGTCCACCCGCATGTTACCTTGGCTTTTTGCGGCCTTTAGGTCACATCTCACCCGCGTCTGTTTAAGGGCGCTGCGTTAAGTTGCACCTCGCACCGCATTCGTTGCGCTTTCCCGAAAGAAGCGAGCGTCTCCGCTTGGATCGTGGTTCAAATTTGGGTCTTCGGTCTTTGGAGATCAAGGTTTTGAAGCGCTGGCCCTCTTAAGGTTTTGATCGAACAGTCATAGCGGTTTGGTTAGGCATGCAAAACATTGACTCCCTCTCACGTATCAAGAAGCTTACCAACTTGCGGGCTGGGTGAAAGAAAGTTTTCCTGGCCCAGTCTGGCTCGCAGAATATGCCGACATCGACCCGAGATGTGCCGAGACCGCATTTTAAAGACCCAACATGGTTGCAAGGCCGCAAAGGGGCCCGGATTTGCGTTCGGTGCAAAGAGGAAACCAGTGCTCAAAAGCAAGGCCTAGGTAAGAATGCAAACAGGGGTCCCCTTAGTCTCAGACCTTGATTCACAAACTTCCAAGCCGCTCCAAGGATACCGCTACACACGCAAGGTTCCAGACATACTCTGCACAATTTACACGTGGCGCGATGACTTGAGCCATGCGCTGGAGCAGAAGCCTCAGGCATCTCGCCCACACCTCTTGACCTGGTGGTTTTCCCGTTTTGGCAACAAGTGTTTGTCAAGGCTTTTTTCTTTCAAGTTTCGGGCAAGTGAGGGGGGAGGGGCCTTTGTAAGGTCGAACCGGGTCAATTATGGGATTTACGATCCTGAATCGGACTCGCCCGCCACTCCACCTTTGCTAGTCTCTCCCTCAAATGTATGTATGACGTTCAAAGGAATTCCTAAGACTTGCCTGAGACAGGAACATGTGTGGCATATCCCAGATGGGCCTTCGCCAGTGACCTCACTTTGCGAGGCCTTTTCGGCAAAGTTATACGACCCAAAGCTGAAACATCCATTTTGAAGATGCTGCTCACTACCCACAAGCCACTTCCTCTCAGGGGTAAAGGATCTCAACCCCTTGAATGTTGTGTATAATAGTATGTATATATATACATTCATTTGAGGGTCCAGTTTGGTTTCAAAGGGAAACAGAAGGAACACCCCCCCCTATTTTGACCCCCCGTATTGTTCAGTGGAAACCTTCGCCAATTCCTTTGGGGGCGATCTCTCGAGGCAGAAGCACCGCGGCCTTGGCCGCGGTGGGCGTGGCCGTGGGCGCCTGGGTGTTGGCGGCGTCCTTGGGGTTGGCGATGGCAGCAAGTCTTTGGTTCATTTTGCCAAGGGATGTTCGGACTTGACCTTTTTGCCAACTAAGGGGTTTTCCGTATTAAGCCACTAAAAGTTGAAAACTTTTAGCAGGGGGGCAGAAAGCAACCGAGAAGTCGTCCCCGCGGTCGGAGGGCTCCGGAGCGAAGGGAGCAACGCACAAAACGCGCGGCGAGGTTTTGAAGAACCCCCCGCAAACCTGCAGAGGGTTCAGCGTCTGATGGTTGCGAAGGTAGCCGTGGCAATGGGCTCGTTTAGGAGCACCGGTTCAAGACCCCGGCGCGAAAGGGAGTCCGTGCACGCAGTCCATTGTATTGCAACTCAGGCAATTCCGCGGCTCTTGCAATTTTATTACTTGCAACTCATTTCACGTGCAAGGCAGATAGATTCGTGTGATCTTCCTAGGAAGCGCAGCTCAATTGATTTCAGTACCGCGGAGGCGGCGAAAAGTTGGGCTTTGAAGCCTCGAATATAAAAGGGCGTTTATCGAAAGAAAACTTCGATTCCTAGATATTGATGGAATCCCAAACAATAGTTGATGGGATCCATTCTTGGAATCCCTTTAAATCCTCGAAAACTTAGATTCCAACAAGACATACTATTTGTCCACGACAGCTCATGGGCACAGCTCTCTCGACGGGTCACCAGATAAGGTCCGGAGCCGGCGGCGGCGGGGCTTGTGCCGCTCACAGTTGCTGATGGGCTGATTTGAAGGGCCTTCCCCCATGAGGGTATGTGTGTAGACGTGTATATATATATATATATGTACGTATGTATATATGTGTATATGCTTGGATGGACCTGTGCTTGGGTCAGTCTTATGGCAGACACTGCATGCCGTTAGGATCTATTCAGGCTCAAGTTGGCAGAGACACCATATTTAAAGTAGCTCTTTCACATTAGAATCCAGGTCAGTCTGAAAAGATCTTACTTACTTTTTCAATTCCATGTGTGTAAATGCAAATCAATTACACCAGCCTCGACCCCAAACAGCCAAAAAGCATGACAGGTCTGTACAACCCAAAAAAGGCTTGTCTCCTTCATGTACGGTGCGAAATTGAGTAGCTTATGTGAGCAACACACAGTTACAATCAGTCTATGTATGTCCCTGTAGGAAGTCCCCGAAGAGGACACATCGGGTCCATCCATCTCCTTGACGCCGGGTAAAAGCATGGATGTTGGTCATCGACTTCGAGGAGGAAAATGCCATGTTCGAGAGTGAAGGCCCCAGGCATTCGGGGTGAATCAACCTAACGCCTGGCACTCTCATGACTCCTTGCAGGTGCAACTTGCACTTGCAATGACTCTCGTGACTCCTTGCGCTTGAAACTTGCACTTGCAATGAGTCTCATGACTCCTTGCACTTGCTACTTGCGCTTGCAATGACTCTCATGATGATGATGACTCTCATGATGATGACTCTCATGATGGTAATGATGGTGACTCTCATGATAACGACTCTTTGCAATGACTTTCATGATGATGACTCCTTGCAATGACTTTCACAATGATGACTCCTTGAATGACACCTTGCAATGACTCTCATGAGAACAACTCAACTAATTCCAGTGGAAGAACCCTTGGCCATGCTTTCGGGAATATACTGTGACATCCGGCTGATTGCTTTGCTCAGGACACTGAGCTGCTTTTTGGAAGCCAGTGCCGCACTGTTTCTCAAGCGCAGGTTTGCATCCTTGCGGCGCATCAGCAGAGCCTTGTCGAGCCTTAAATATGTAGACTGTTTTCGATAGACAAATACCGTGACATCGGCAGCTGCTTTGTGGAAGCCAGCGCCACACTTCTTGGCCAACTGCAGGTTTGCATCCTTGCATCAGCAGAGCCCTCCATTTTGTTCTATAAACAAATGTACCGTGACATCCGCCTGATGGCTTTGCTCAGGATTCTGAGCTGCTTTTCGGAAGCCAGTGCTTCTAGCGCATCAGCAGAGCCCCGTCAAGCCTTGAATATGTACTTCTGTTCTCGGTAAACAAATACCGTGACATGCGCCTGATTGCTTTGCTCAGGATTCTGAGCTGCTTTTTGGAAGCCAGTGCCTCACTTCTTGGCCAACCACAGGTTTGCATCCTTGTGGCACATCAGCAGAACCCTGTCGAGCCTTTGATGTGTCTGTTTTCTCGATAAACAAATATACTGGGACATCCGGCTGATTGCTGCTCAGGATACTGAGCTGCTTTTTGGAAGCCAGCGCCGCGCTCCTTGGTCAAGTGCAGGTTTGCATCCTTGCGGCGCATCAGCAGGGCCCAGCCAAGTGGCCTTCACTGACTCGACAGCGGAGACACACTTAGCGCTGTTGGACTTCTGGCGGGGACAAGGTGTAAAAAGCGGCTTCGCATGTTTTCCTGTTGGCATTTCTCCGTTTGGTGCCTTCTAACATCTTCTAACAAGAAAATCGCTTGGATCCTGAAAGCATGCGTGACGACCCCGGAGCCAGCGTCACATCGCAGAGACTGCGAGACACAGGGAGACAAGCGGGAGACGATCCCAGAGCCCGCGGAAACTGATGCGGGAGACACGACCCCGGTGCCAATGTCACAGCATCTGGCATCCGATCGCAGAGACTGGGAGACAAGCGACAAGCGGGAGGATCTGGCATCCAGCGTCGCAGCATCTAGCATCCGACCGCAAAGACTGATGAAACTGGGAGACACAGGGAGACAAGCGGGACTGGCGTCAGAGCATCTGGCATCTGACCGTAGAGACTGGGAGACACAGGTAGACAAGCGGGAGACACAACCCCGGAGCGGCGTCACAGCATCTGGCCTCTGACCGCAGAAACTGGGAGACACAGGGAGACAAGCGGGAGACACGAACCCGGAGCCATGTCACAGCATCGCAGAGACTGCGAGACACAGGGAGACAAGCGGGAGACACGAACCCGGAGCCATGTCACAGCATCGCAGAGACTGCGAGACACAGGGAGACAAGCCCCGGAGCCAGCGTCACAGCATCTGGCATCTGGCCGCAGACGCAGGGAGACGAGACTGGGAGACAAGGGCACAAGCGGGAGACAAGACCCCAGAGCCGGCGTCACAGCATCTGGCAACAGGGAGACAAGCAGGAAACACGAGAGACACAGGGAGACAAGCGGGAGACACACAGCGTCGCAGCATCTGGGAGCCAGCGTCACAGCATGGCATCCGACCGCAGAGACTGGGAGACGAGACTGGGAGACACAGGGAGACAAGTGCGAGACACGATCCCGGAGCCGGCGTCACAGTATCTGGCATCTGACCTGGGAGACACATCGAGACAAGCAGGGAAACGACCCCGGAGCCGGCGTCACAGCATCTGGCCTCTGACCGCAGAAACTGAGGGAGACAAGCGGGAGACACAACCCTGCGACATCTGGCCTCCAGACACAGGGGGGAGACACGACCCCGGAGCCATCAGGGAGTCACAGCATCTGGCCTCTGACCGCAGAAACTGGGAGACACGAGACAAGCGGGGGAGACACGACCCCGGAGCCAGCGTCACAGCATCTGGCATCTGATCGCAGAGACTGGGAGACAGTACAGGCAGACAAGCAGGAAACACGAGAGACACAGGGAGACATGCGGGAGACACGACCCCGGAGCCAGCGTCACAGCATCTGGCATCTGACCAGAGAGACTGGGAGACAGGAAGACAAGCGGAAAACAGGACCCCGGAACCGGCGTCACGCTTTCCCATTCTCTATACCTCAAGTTAGAACCCCAATGCTTCGCTGCTTGGGGAAATAGAGGAACATTAGCCAACATGTTTGGAAAGGAGTGCCAATTAAAACAAGCTTGAAAGTCACGCTCCAGCTCAGAAAGCACAGCTTGTCAGTACAGGAGTAGTACTCGGAGTGCACTTTGGCAGCTTCAACGCGCCGTCAACAGCTCTGTGATGATTGTTGTGATTACTTTTCTGGTTTGCAGAAGAAAAAACAGCAAGCCATCAATTTGGGTGTCATCGCTATCTAAATTGCTACTTGAAATCGACATCAACATCAAGTATAGTGTGCTCCATGTCCTTGCGCAGTTTCATTTACATTCAGATTAACCTATGCTTATGTGTTTCCTTATATATATATGGTTGATTTCAAATCTGGGTTTTCCTTCTCCAATTCCATCCGAGCCAAGCCAACAACAGGACAATGTTTCGCATATATATATACACATGTGTACATGTATGTGTTGGCAAACAATGTATGTTCCGCATTGAATTCAAGAAGAAGGGCCTCCATATGTTTACAAAAAAACCGCTCCAAATGTAACTACACACATAAACTTTCAAGTTTTTGGAAGAACTTGCTTGGCCTGGATCCAAGATTCAAGTTTGCACGGAACAGTTTCTTCAGACATCTTGGCTTCAGGCCAGCTCAGGCATCTTTGCATTTTTGGAGCGGGCTCCGTTTTTTTGACATAAAAGGAGTTCATACCCTTCTTTTCTGTATTAAGACCTTTGTTTTGCTTGTATATAATGCAGTGTGCTGCGCACAATCCTTATATCCGTGTTTGTGGACATTAAGCGAAGGGATCCTTCTCTCGTGGTGGCCCGTGTGCCTTGTTTCAGTCTTTCATCCTAGGCCCTGTCACTTTTGCGGCGGTCGTTGTAAGAACCCGTACCTCCCTGTGTACTGGGAGCTTCAACAAGCGCCAGGTGACTCACACGGCTTCCTTTCTAGAAACAATTCACATTTCATAATGCCAGAAAGGAGCAGTCGCCATTGTTCCCATAGATGTTACATAGCGTAAGTGTAGCCGGTCCCTTGCAATCTTGAGTCATGGATCAAGGCCAAGAGACTTCAGAGCTTTCCGACAACTTTGAAGCTTTCTGGGGGGCGGCCTGGATCCAAGATTCCTAAGACACTTTTCTGTGCAAACTGGATCCGCGCAAAACATACTTCAACTTTCTAAAATATTTGTTGGGGTGGCCTGCATCCAAGATTTCTATGACGCTTTTCCGTGCAATCTTGGATCTTAGATCTGGGGTCCAGGCCGAGAACACGCTATTTTGTTTCTCTACAAGCAGGCCTTTCTTGTTTGATCTAGGCGCCCAGTTTGACCCTCATTTTTGAGGGGCAAGACACAGGATCAAGCGTGCAAATACCGCAGCCGACCAGGCGCAGGTGTATATGCAGATGACAGTGAATGTGTGTATGTGTATGCATATGTGCATGTGTATGTATATGGTCGTTTATGTATATCTGACATGTTGCATACATATATATATATACATACACATATACATACACCTGTGTTTTCCTGCGCAAGGCTTGGATTCAAGACTCAAGGGCGTTCGCTGATCTCGACAAATAGCTTTGGGTTCGGGTGTTGCGCCTGAGGCGCGCTTGGCAGCTGGTGGGGCACAGGCGCGTTGGCACTCAGTGCATCTCCATTCCATTCGCGGGTTCAACGGCCGCTTCATGGGGTTTGCACGAAGGTTGTGGTTTTCACGAAGGCTGTGGTTAGGATTGCTTTTGTTTGTGAGAATCTCAACCAATGATTCATTTTGGTCAGGGCTCCTTAAAAGATACATTTGGCAACCATTTGAAACATGGCTTTTTCCACCAAAATAAAGGGACACCACCATTTACAAGGCAATGTTCAGGTGTAAAGTAAGGATCCCTGTTGATGAATCAAAGTTCATTTCGGCATCCCTACTCGCCCAGCCACGAGCGACTTGAGCGACTTCTGCAGGTCTGACTTGACCGAGGGGCCAGGTGGTCGGCGCCTGAGCTACTCGATCTTGTTCCTTTGTCCGTCCAAATCTAAAATGAACCAAATCTTTAGCTCTAAGGCTCCAAACATGTTTTCTGAAGGGTCGGGTTTCTCTGTTGGAGGGTCCGAGTTCTGCATTGAAGGGGTCATGGGCCTTGGCGCGGGTAGATGTTTCCTTCTGTTCCCCACTACCCTTTTTGACGCTCTACGTAGATCTGAGCTGGATGCATGTTGTCCACGTTTGGGTAGAACTTTGGTAAAGATGGGTCCTTTCCAAAAGAGCGTGGACAATTAGTGAAACTGTGTTCTTTTGTTTCCTCTGTATTTCCCCTTGATGCCATCTAACAATAGGGGTTATCGCACCGTTTTCGGCCACGCGGCTGACTTGGCACACGATGTGCTTTGCGGGCCGTAGGGTCGATGTGTTTGTGTTGCTGGCTTCGCAGGACATTGGCCATGGCTGATGAATATGTGAGTTCCTTCTGTTTTGTTTCTTCATGTTTTTCCCATGTGGGTTTCAACAAAAACCTATCGCTGGACATTTGTTCGCTTTTTGCCAGGGACTTGAGCAAACGGAGGTTTCGGAGCGGTACCTGTTGGAGTCGCAGAAGCTGAGATCGGATAGGCTGGGACGTGCTGCCCTTCTGCCTGGAGCCCGGGCGAGAAGCCTGCGTGCTGCCTGGGGCCCTAGTCCCTGGGTCTCCAGGTGGCGAAGAACCCGTTTTTTAGGTGGTGGGAGGGGTGAGGACCCACCTTGTTTTTTAGGTGGCTTGGTGTTTTTTGGGTGAGAAACGACCTGGGACCTTGGTGGTATTTTACAAACATCGCCTGGTTGCCGGATGTCGGAAAGAAAACCGAGGTAAGTGTTTCACGCCGCGTGGGTGGGACAAATGTCCGGCGTTTTCCGCCTCCTCCGCGCAGTGAAAGGCACCGCGCGGGCGCGTGGCTGGGCTTTGCCCGGAGCTGCCCGCACGCGGGCATCGACTTGCTGGGCGGTGATATCGAGGAGCGGCGCTGCTTCGACGAACCATAAACCAGGAGGAAAGGAAAGGGAAACAAGCTTGGGGCTGGAAAAACAAGGTCCTATTCATGTTTCGGTGTTCAGCGGCAAACACAACCCCGGCTTCTTGTTTGTTTTTCTCGCAGATATTGTCTACCCCCTGGTTTTGAGATGTAAAACTCAGCCAGGAGGGTTGAGGGGGCAGGGGATCAGTTCTTAGAGGCAAAGCCTGGGCCGCGTTGTGAAGCAAGATGAGACCTCCAACATTTTGGCAGGAAAGATACAGCTGACTGGGAGGAAGGGGCAGACTGGGTCCAAAAGAGAGGGTATTGGTTGATGGCTGGCTGGGGACTCTGAAATGGGTTGCAGCTTGCACAAGCGACCACCAATGTGTGCAGCATCCTCGAAGACATCTGTTAGAACCCATTTTGGGCCGCCTGTAGCTTGGCGGCCATAAAGCCAAACGGCCATGAGCGCTCGAAACCCTTGGGGAGGTTTAAAGCGAAGCAGGAAGCCAACTCATTGAATGTCCCAGTTGCGACACATGAGCATGTCTTCCTTTCGAGCGCTGGAGATTCACAGGACATGTCGGAGATGGGCATCGACGTGTCGCCGGCAGGTTTCGTCGTCCTACGCAGTTGCCGAAAGGACCCTGAGTGGAAAAGCGGGTAGTCTGAAGCGAGACTTTCTGGAAATTCTACGGTTCCGTTTGTTTTTGGCGGGTCGGCCAATTTCCATCGTACTTCTTGGGTCTGAGGTTGGCACAGGTTTGGTTGAAGGTTGCCCACTTTATGAAGAAAATCGACCAAGGCAAAGACCCAGACTAGCTGGACATGGGTATCTCCTTTGAACACATTAACAAGAGATGTGTTACAGAATTGATTGCAACATAATTACACTCCTTGATGAGGCAGTCTGGTTCAGCCGTGCACACAGCCCCATCCTGATTGTCTCGGGCCTTAGAGTGCGGCTCCCACATGTTTACTGGCCATGGCGACTTCAGGTATGTCTCAAACGAAGCGAACCTCACATTCCTTTTAGTGCCTTTGCTCAGCCACAATCAAGCCGTTGGCAAGTGAAGGTTAGTAGGGCGCCGTCCCATCAAGCGGCACGGCCCTCTTGGTTTTCTTCACTGGTTTCTGGTAGACTCAGTTGAGGTTGTTTTTTTTGTTTGTTGGCTTTATTTTTGCAGCTCTTCAAAAGGTTTAGCTGCCGTGCAGCTTCAAAAGGTCCAAGTTGCAAGCTCCTGCTTTCGTCTGTTCTTTGTTTTTGCGGGGGCTTGGGCCAATGTACACGATCGAGAGTCCATGGCACCGATGCCCCCTTTCAATTTGTTAAGCCGCGAGGTGGTGGTCGCTTGTCCGGCGCACACCTACCTCTTCGATCCCGTCCAGGGCACCTGCTTGTGGGACTGGCCCAAGGGCTTTGCTCCCTGTTCCCACTCGCTCCCGAATCGAGTTTTGGGAGGTGGACCTGTTAAACTGTCATCTGTTTTCTAACCCTGAACCCTAACCCTAAACCCCGAACCCTAAACCCTGAACCCTGAACCCTAAACGCCAGCTTAGGCGTTCGAAATCCTCTCACGTCAGCTCGAAAGGGAAGCCACAACCGCACGCCGTGAGCGACAAAGCATCAGGGGCGGTGAGGACCAGGGGCTGAATCAGTATTTCAGAAGAGACAAAAGGGCCAGTTCAGAAAAGACAACAGGGTGGCCGAACGAAACCCTTCAAAGAACCCCGACAAAGGTTCCAACCCGGTGGGGCTCCAGGTTTTGCCCTGGACCGCAGGATGCTTCCCGCGGGTTGCCCGAGACACCTCCGCTGCAAACCTACGAGGCGGGCAGAAACCGCGGGCGAATCCGCGGCGCGCGACTTGTGCGACTCGGGGGCCAGGTGCGCGAGTCGTGCGGGCGAATTTGGGTCCAGCACTTACAGTGCGAGACTTGAAATAATTCGTTCGAGCGGCGGGAATTTCGAGGGCTGGTCCTATCGTTTATGGGGGTGTATCGCTGGGTTAGTTATACGACCAAATGTGTCAACTAGTATTTGATTCTAGTTGCCAAGGTGCTTTATGTTGCGTCCTTTTGAGCCACAGCCATTTAGGGTTACCCAAAAGCAAGCGGTGAGTCTGGGCCTGACCGACTGGATGCCGATCTCGGCATTTCAGGTCCGCCCGAGGCCACTGCCAGAGCCCATTTCCAAAGAAGAGTGGGACCAGGCTGGGCTGAAGAGGTGTCAGCTCGAATGTGAGGGTTAAATGATTACTTACGATGCACCCTATGCAACCCTAGGTCCCCCAGTAGTGCCCTTACCCTTTATTGGGGGAGGGTTCCCCTAATAAAATAGACTACAGAGCAGAGTACCCTTATTCTAACCTCTCTGCTGGCGGACCTAGAACCATTAATGGTTGGATTTCCGTTGCTCCCCAGAATTCAACATCTCTTGGATCAACCCCAAAATATGACGTTCACTGCTCATCTAGGGTTTGTCCCCCCAAATTTTTAGCCTGGGTTGAGGGCTATGACCATGAGTGAACTTGGTGTAAGACAGAACCTTATTCAAATATATGTTGGGTATAGTAATTACTTGCCCGGGTTGCAGGAATCAGGTTGGAAGTTTCGACCGCTGTGATACCAGAGAGCCTATGCCACAGGCAGGAATCATTGGGCAGGTCTTCCAGTGCTATCGCAGACGGCCACAACTCTGGCGCTTCCATTTCCCTTTTTGGGAAGTTCCTCTCGGGTTGGTATTGAAGGTTTTGAGCACTACCCGTTTTGAATCAAAGCACGTGCTTGACGTACCCTCCTTGCCCTTCTCCAGAAATGCAGATGTGCAAGACTTGCACGAGGGCGTGGTTGTTGAACGGAGGCGAAGAGAATTCTCCAACTGGGCCACGCCGGTGGGTGCCACCTTTTAAACTGTTTGGTTGGACCGGCTGGATCAAAGGTTTCAGCTCCATGTCGCCCAGGGCCTCTCCTCCAATGGCGCACTTCTTTTCGTGTGTGGGAGTTGACACAAAGACAAGTTGCAAAACTGACGTCGAACATCTCCAACTCACCTTTTGCCAAGCACACGGGTACAAGAACAAAACTAGGCGCCCTCACAAGGAGCTCAACACGAAAAGAGAGCAGAGCACGAAACCGCGCTCATCTCTGTTTTGCCGCCCTTAGAACAAACAGAAGAAGGAGGTATCTCGAGAAGATCACACTGTGAATGTTTGCTGAAACAAGGGACATCTAAAGATAGTTGGTGTCCTCTTTGAAAATTCCCTCCAGCCAACAAAGGGGCCCCCCATCGGACGCAAGCTTTGGCTTCCCAAACAACGTGCCTCTTGAGGTGCCGTACATGCACATATCTACATACAGCCCTCGATATTTGAATAGATATAGATGTTGAATTCTGCTCAGTAGTATCTAGATATGTATGTCTGCAAACAAATACATATATCGATAGATACATGTGTTCTATAATACGGGTACGCTCTGTTCGCTGTTGAGCATCCCGCAAAAAAGGCCTCTTTCTGATAGTTGGTGTTTAAAGTAACCTTGATAGCTTGTGCGAAAGCCCCCCCCCCAACAAAAAAGGGGCCCTCAGAAACATCGAAGCCACCATGAAGATGTTTGAGCCTTAAACAACTAGGCTTCAAAGGGGGCTGTTTCTCACAATCAGCGACCCTCCTCGGCTGCCGGACTTAAATTCGGGTTGCCTTGCTTGGGGTAGGGTGGCTATGAAACATCATTGGGATAATTTCCAATATTTTGTAAAATGGTTTGTGGACGCATATCGACTTGTAAAGGATCTAAAGGGTTTCCATCTGAAGTTCATATCCACATGAGGCGTTCTGAGCATGGAACATGTCCGGGCCTGTTGCCCAATTGAGTAGATGGTTCTCCATCAAGGTTTCATGTAGGTCACAGCAAGGCCCTCAAAATGAACCCTTCAGGTTGGTTTCCTGTTGGGTCTCCCCTTAAAACCAACAAGCGACTTTTATGGCATTTTGAGAAACACCCGTTGATGCGATAGGCCAAGGCCAACGCGCTGCAAATGGCAGCTGTAGAGAAGGTGCAGGCTGCTCAGTTCTTCTGAGGGAAATGGCGGACCCCTTGTTGGTTTTAAAGGGACACCGTTTACCCACAAAACACATCTTGGGGTTCACCTATTTTGAGAAACTCCCAGATGGGCTCTACAAGTCGAGAACCGCAGGTTTTACCAGGCGTCCTTTTTTGGTCAATTTGGCTGAACATAGATGTACTCCACTGGTTAGTGCTATCTATAATTTCACAAGGACGAATTTGGGTGTTACCCTCCCACCAGGCCTTGGTGCAGATTGTGAAAGGGCGGCTCTGCACCAAGCCATGTTTGGTGAGAGGGTAAAGGCACAAGAATATCACAGGGCGTCTATTTTCGGGCACTAGATGGGCTGGGCGCCAAAACTTGGTTGCATCTTTGTTTTTGTTTTCTTTTTGGGGGGGGGTTCTCACAATTACTTTTGGGGCTGGTTCATTCGAGGATGTCCCTTCAGTCTCCAAAGATGTCCCCGCCCGGGGTGGTCACATTAGGTTTCCCGCTCGAGATGCGAGGTGTCCCTAGTTTTGATCTTGGAGTTAGGAAGAATTGCCAACCCCTTGATAGGACTTTCGACAACCATGATTAGGATTTGGCACCATGACCATAAACTGCGCAGAAGGAGTTTTGAGTAAGTCACGCGTCAAGACGACAATCACGTCCGGCATTCTCGGCGAGCGCTCGTTCCGAGGCTTGCCCGAAAGTTTCCAGATTGAGCGAGGATAGTCCCAAGCCAAACCTCAAGGGATGATGGTTTTGCCATCCTTTGCGGTTTATGGGTACACGAGGGTTGATGAACCCTCGTTTGCCTTCCGCGCAAATGCTCGCGGCCATGGCTTTGGATGCTGCAGCGGACAAACACCTGTGCGTTGGCTTGCTGGGCCTTGTGCGGCGAACACATCCCACTCACATGGAGCATTTCCACATGCTTGATCCAAGTCACGAAGAGCTTTGCAGCCGCGTGGAAATTGGACTTGGCGCTGAGCATCGCCGCAAGCCGCAGTCTTGGAGCCATGATTCATGATTCCAGGATTCATGAGATCCAGCACACACCCAGAAAGCTTGGCGTAGTGGGTTGGGTACTTCCTCGTGTCAAGTGCCACGTATCAAAGAGGCGTCAGAAGACTTTGGCAGAAAACTTGGTTTCAACTCAAGTCGCCAGACGCGCCAACCTGAGCTTTTTGCGAATCCCCCCTCTCTTTGTGGCGTGACTTTCATGCTTTCATGTAGGGTTTTTGCATGTTGGGAACATGATTGTTCTCCCACTAGCCAGTCTCTTTCAAATGATCCATAGCCTACAGTATTCTTTTTGACTGAACCTCTCATATAGCCTGTATTTCTTACAGCTGACCATCTCTTCAAAGTTGGCCCAAAGCACAACACTCATAGCGAAGACGTGAGCAACCGCCTCGTTGGCGAACGGGGACCCTAAAGCGCGTTCAGATCGCCATGCCGCCGCGATCCGAGGCCCGGATGATTAGAATGAGCCGAAGGGCTAAAAGATAGGATTTGGGCATTGGAACATATGGGTGTGGCTCAAAAAGGGGGATCAAGACTGGAACCCTGGTAAATGGCAAGCTTAAGGTAAACGGAAACCTGCGTAACCCCAGCTGTGTAATTTTGAGCCCCACCAATATGGTGTCCCTTTTTTGATGACCTGCGATTGGGCGGTTTCAATGTGACACCAAGAAACCTGGGTGCCCTATTTTAAGACACACCCACATGAGTACTTGTTAAGATATGGGGGATTCCCAAAGCTTTGTTTTCCGTTTCAAGCAAGCTGAATAAGAGGCACCCTAAAAAGACAAACACACACACACACACCCATATGAGACTAAAGGAAGCTACCTTCTTGTGTTTTGGGGTGGTTAATTTTGTTTGAGAACCCCTGCATCTGGAGCAGAAAGCTGTCAGCTTCAAATTGGCTCCATCAACCCATGGGTCCAATTTTCCTCGGAGATTTGGGACACCTCAATTGGGTATATCGTAAGATAGCAATCGGACCGGAGAAAATTGGTGGCATCCTTTTGGTTTGCCTTCAAAACCCACCAAAATGGGGTTCCCTCCCAAAAAGACAACTGTTTTCCTTTGCACTGAGGGGAGCCCATATGCAACCTCTAGAGGTTCGCTTCGCCGTTGCTCCGCATCGTTGACTCTGTTTCTCAAAACGGTCCCGATGGTTTGGGGGACACCAGAAAACCAACCCACCTGAAGGGGCCCCAATTTTGAGCACCCATCTTTTCGCAAATTCCGCATCCATGGGATGGGTTCTACTTGCAAATCATTTGCATGTGTCTCAGAATAGGCATACCCCCCCCCCCCAAACGTGTTTTTCCTCGTGGTGTCCCCTTAGCACCAACTCCAAAACGCAGTCCCAACGTGGAGCATCTTCCTCGGAGGCCAAAGAGGCCGACGCGGACGGCCGCCTCTTCTTGGAGTGGGGGCGCCTCAGTCACAGCTCCCATTTTTGCCCTCTTTCCAAACGGGTCTGAAGCTGTGAAGCGTGTTTCACCTGTGAAATATCCAGTTTTAGCCTCACGACCTTGGGTTCTGGGAAACATCCAGTTGTAGCCTGACCTTCTGAGTTGGACTCAAACTACTTGTTGGGGCCACTGTTTTAGCGCAAGGAAGAGAGGTGTCAACGGGCGTCCTCCTGCAGACCGTTTCAAGACCGTAGTGTTCCAAACGCTACCAGCGTTGCCAGAGGGTGGTGGTGGATGGTCATCAACCCCTTTATTGGGATGTAGACAACTTGATCTATTCTGTTGCAAGGAACCATCCTGTTGCTCTGTCGCATGTGTGGCGTGTTGTGGCCTTCTTCTTTGGTAGGAACTGCGACCAAAACATTCTCACACGGAGTTTTGACCATGGCACAAACGAATGAGAATGGCCAAATTATCTGACCATTTTCTGTTCAACAAGAAGGCCCACGGCTGTGGATGATGCAGCCTTTCCATGTTGTTTGGATCCTAGTGTCCACTGTTTGAAGGTTTGGGCGTGGTGAATAGGGACCCTTCTAGGGGTTCATTCCCCATTCTTCTCAGCCATCGTTCTTTTCAAAAACCAGCTGTTTCCCCCAGGGTTCTGGTGGTTTTCTAGAAAGAAGGATCCCTGGAAAGAGTGGGGAAGTATCCCTAGAACCATGGGCATTTGAATGGTCTGAGTGAGTGGTTTCGGGCCTCGTTGATCTTCCTCGAGGCGATGTTGCCATGCGAACGGTCAAAATGAGTGGTATGATCTTCAAGGGGGCCTCCTACACACCGGACTCGCGACATTTCCCAGGTCCTTTTCTGGGAAGAAAAGAAGTTTTTTCACCTTGGTCCATGTGTGCTCTGATATTAGATGACTATGATGTCCGAGGGCTTTCTCATTCAGACGGTGAGCCATTCTCTCGCTTGCAACGAAGGGGCGGCATTTTTTCCAGTGGATTGGTCAATTTCTGAAAGAGCAACTACTCCACGCTCCCTGGGATCGCTTTACCAGGTTGTTCTTGCATTTTCCTTCCCACGGCTGCTAACCAGGGCCGGGCGAAGCCCAGTGCAAAATGGGATCAACCTGGGAATTGGGTGCAAGCACAGTGCAGGGGCCCAGATAATTGGAATTATGGGCTTATGGGGTATGATGAAACTGTGGGACAGTTGTTGTTCCTCCCTTTTTTCTTTTGGGGTCTGAAATTATGTTGGTTGGGAGAGAAGTAGATGCTGATTGACTCATAACCAGATGGCAAGGATACAAGGGGGACAGCGGATGTAGGACGGCTGACGTTATAAGTGTAACTAAACAGAACAGAAGAGAGCAGACGCATCACTTCGGCAAGATTGAGGCGTTTACTGCTGCCGCCTGGCACGACGCTCTCCCGAGCAGCGTCTACAGGGCACGCGCCAGTTGTGAACTCTCCAATCCCGGAAGGGTGTGGGTCAAAATTAAACCAGGGGAGCGCAGGTTGTAGTCCAAGCTCCATTTACCAGGGTTCCAGTTTGGGTATATATATATATATTTTGACCCACAGCCAGAAGATGATTTGAGCAGCGCCATCTTGGTAAGTGGGTTCTACTCCCCGGGGGAAAGAAGCCATTTTGGTCTGACGCTCACGTCCTGATGTAACGAAGCGTGTGCCTGGCTCTTATGTTGCTGGTATGGCAGCGCGAAGCTCGGCTGATATGGTGTGAGCAACAGGAAAGTGAGCGCATGCATTGGATTTTGAGTTCATTGTTTCTACTGGGCAAGTGCATGGACTCCGGCAGATGGGAATATTTCTTCTCCCCGCATTGTTCAGGAGTGGAAGCATCAGTATGGGACTGGATCCGTTGACCAGGAAACATGTTGACCAGAGAGTTTCTTTGGTGCATTTTGCCAAGGGATGTTAGGACTGAACAACTTTTTGCCTTTTCCGTATAAAACCACTAAAAGCACTTTTAGCAGGGGAGCAGATTTCGCAACCGAAGTTTGGATTCAATGAGCCGTTTGACTGCCTTGCAGGCTGTTCTTCTTCATGCTGTATTGCTTCGCCGGGCCCTGAGTGGACCCATCCGTGTGCAGTAGACCTTGGAACGTGCAAGCCAATCTGCCGTCAACACATTGACATGCCGTCAAGACATGACGCAGACATGGAGAAAACGGCTCTGGTTAGTTTGATAAAAAAAAGAGCAAAGAACGAACCAAAGAGGGGGGGGTGAGGTGAGGATTAAACTCAGGTGTGGGTCTGCTACTACATTGCGCGACTCTCAGCGTCCGGGGATCAGCACGTGTCAAGACAGGGACTCGGGCCCAACAAATGGTAGCTTTGTGTGTGGCTTCCTTTTCAACCAGCCAAAAAAATGAGGTCCCCTCAACTGGCAACGCAGTGATCTCACATTTGCCCTTTGGGTTTGGAAGGGGACCTGCGGCGACACGAAAAACGCCGGCCTTTGGTTTTCCTCGTCGCGTGAAGTCGCGCCATTGGCACAAAGAGGGGCGGTTCGCCAGGAATTGGTCCCCAAGTTTGGAGAAGCACGCATCACTTGCAAACTTTGAGATTTCCCCCTTGACACACTTTGCGGATTTCCCCCTTTCCCCCTTGCTAGAGGAATTCCGCAGATTTTTTCCTCCTTGACATTCTTCTGGCCCCAGCCAGAGCTCGCTGAGAGGCCGTGGGGGGCGACGTCTGCGCCGCAGAGCGTCAGGCTGCAGACCTGGCAGAGGCCTTGGCGGGCGGGGCCCGGCCGTCAGGGTTCCTTGGGGGTTTTCAAGCATTTTTTAGTTGGTTTGGTGGTAGGTTTGTAGGTTTTTTTTGTGGGTATTTTGGTTGGTTTAGCGGTAGGTTTGTAGTTTTGTTTTGAGGGTTTTAGCGGTAGGTGTGTAGTATTTTTTTGGGGGTTTTAGTGGTAGGGAGATGGTGTTTTTTTTTTTTTTCCTAGCCCTGGTCCCCCCTTAGCCCTGGTTGGTTGGTTGGTTGGTTGGTTGGCTGGCTGGTTGGCTGGCTGGTTGGCTGGCTGGTTGGCTGGCTGGCTGGCTGGCTGGCCGCATCCCCGGCATCACCAACATCACTTGGACCTGGGGTTGCCTAACTCTGATTAGGAGTTGGGAGTTGCTGGGGGCTGGTTTAAGTTAGGGGGGTTTTGGCTGGCTTAGATCTTCATGAGGGTGGGTCTTGGGGTGGTTTGGGGTTGATTTAGGCGAAGCGAAGGGCTGACATCCAGGCTGCTGTTGGGCGGGTTTAGGGTTGACTTTGAGTGGTTTTTGGGGTGGCTGCCTGGATGTCAGCCCTTCGCTTCGCCTAAATCAACCCCAAACCACCCCAAGACCCACCCTCATGAAGATCTAAGCCAGCCAACACCCCCCTAACTTAAACCAGCCCCCAGCAACTCCCAACTGCCACCCAATCAGAGTTAGGCAACCCCAGGTCCAAGTGATGTTGGTGATGCCGGGGATGCGGCCAGCCAGCCAAACAACCAACC